GACATTTTCTGAAAGCACCTTTATTTTTTTGTGCCAGCATGGTATGGAAAACCTGTCATTACTAGTTGGTAAGATAATTTGTATCATATCTATAATTGTGTTGTTGAAAGCCGCATATTCTGAGCTTAAGTGCTAAATCCCAGTTAGTGTTTGGTGTCAATATGTTTAGGTAATGGTGTCATCACAACTTAAGAGCCTTCCAGTAGCTAGTTATCTGCAAGCCCCTGCTGTCCACACAATTAGGGCTACATTTATTTTTTGTTTATTTGTCTTATGTGGGAGAGTCATCGTTTTTAGCTTATCAAGAAAATGGCTACGTGTTGGTTTATAATATATTAAATTAGAGTAACTGTGCTACTTTAAGTGGTGTATTATAGTTTTTTTAGGGTATCAACAAACTAAATCAGGCCATATACAAACTTTTTTCCCTCAACCGCAGGTAAGACCCAAATGAAGACTTAGAGAAAAAGTGATCCTTTGGTGTGGGTGGTGTAGAGCCAGAGCATACAAAAATAATAACAAAGAACTCAAACATATATCACACCCACAAAAAGAAACCGTGAGCTCACAAAAGACCCCAAAACATCCCCACCTCCAAATATCTTGAAGTGATTCAAGTGGTACACTTAAAGGTGGAGAAGTGCATGTAGGTCATATCATGCTGACTCTGTTTCATACTGAGTTACACTCCTGTGCATTTCCACCACAGGTGGTGGACTGTGTTCCTGCGTTTCTGTAATATAGTATGTCATCTGCTACCCTGCAGGCTTGGCCTCTCATCAGTACTCTAGTCACGACTGGTGCTCTCGGCTTGGGCGTGACTCAGCGTTGACCGTCTAGACGTGCACTTTGCACCGATAAAAGCAAGGGGCATTGTTTAAAATATGACTTGGCAGTGCTGGTGCAGGTGGCAGGAGAACACATTTCTTGACTAACAAAGAAACGGGAAAAAAAAAGTGTGTGGTGCAGCAACTAGCAGTGAAAAGCCATGGTGGGTGGAAGTGAGAGCCGGCAAGTGTCACTCCCACATTCCACTTTTGCGTCAGTGATGACCCACTAAACTCCTCTGGAGGGATTAAAGAAAATGATGTCAATATCATTAAAGTTCAGTGCGGCCCTGATCTCATAGTAAGAGTTTTTGTTGATAGTGAAAGCTTGCTGTGCTTGTTAGTGGGACACATGTATGTGAGAAAAAGGTCACTGTGACCACCTCTGGGTTTTCTGTTAAAAAGAAACTTTTATTTACAATATGTATTATTGTACTTTAAAGAGTCAAACATAAAATGGGTTTTTTGTTCAGTTTGAGTATTGTGCTATTTGCTTTTCTTCACCTAGATACGTGTCTGTGACTTTATCAAAACATTTTTCCTCACAAATAGATGTCATACTTTATAGAATGGGATCCCCGAGGAAGTAGGTCAGTGTTACAGTATTATATAAGCATTAGTGAATACAATGGGCCAAACTCTATTTACTCTCACGTGCCTCTGAAATTCACAAACTGCAGGAGTGCATAGCATGGGGGTTTGGCGCCATGTAATAGCAACTTTTAGCCAGTGCATCAAAAGTTTGCCTAGAAACAGAATGTGTGTATGAAAATTGGTAAGACAACAGGGCAAAATGGGAAAAATAAATGAGCTGTCCAGCTATAAAATTGTTTTTGGGTCAGCCTTTAAAGTGAGCATTCCTGGCTGAGATTTCAGCCTTCAAAAATACTTTCCGCCTGTTAATGCAGAAAAAAACTATATGAGTCATTCTGATGGTGCTCATTTTCAAAAAGACAAACAATTTGTGTGTGTTCAAAAATGTAATTTGTCAACAGCAAAACACAGTAAAACAGTTGAGTTTGTTAACCTTCAAAACTCAAATTAAGCATTATTTATTCGCTCATACATGTAGATGAAAAAAGTCTTTAGCCTCAAATAAGTAATAAACTTTACAGTAAACTAAATAAAGTCTCCTCCTTTTAGTCACATACCACTGATATACCAGATACCTGGGTGATGATATTTGACTGTCAGAATAATCTCGACGTGTTTTTTAAGATCTTTAATGGTATTTTCATTTGATATAAGGTCAACTCATTAAAATCAGAAACCCCAGCCTCTATTCATTCATTCATAGTGTAAACAGAGCAAGCGTTATTAGAAAGGTTGTTGTACTGTGTTCATTTGTAGCTCCTCACATCACTGTGGTGCTTGTTTTCATGTATCAGATCCTGCTGCAGAGGATGAAGGGCCAAGCCAAGCAGGCTCCTTGCTGCCAGCTGTCGAGCTGCCAAGGAAACGAAAGGGAGATGTGGAGGAGAGGTCAGATGCGCATGTACAGTAAGAGCAGTGTTATGTTGTCTAAGAAGAAAAAACAAACTCTGAGACATTTCACTCTTGTTTATGCCTGTAGCTAAAATGATATGGTACAATGTACACAAACTAAATGACGCACCGTTTGTCCAACCGATCTCACAGGCAAAGCCTTGACATCCAAATGGACGATGACCTCAGCAGGTACGTTGAGTCGTCGGCTGTATCTGCATTTATGTTAGACCGTGCTGAAAAAAGAATTTGATTTTTGATGCTTTCATTTGCAGATCTGAGGGAGAGGATCAGCAAGTCAAAATGAAATGCTTCAGGTGATTCTATTTTTATATCAAACGACTGCGCCGTCTGTGGCTTTAAAAAAAAGTCTCATGTAGCTTTCCTTGGTCTCATTTAGTTTAAGATGTCAGCTATTTAAAACCCTAATGACTTAGACAGTCTTAAAATAGCTAGGTAATTATTTCCCCCCCCAGAAAAGACACAGCAGGTAGTAATGTAGCTATGCATTCCCCTTTCAAGTTCTAAGATACAGACTGTCTGATGGCTGAATGTGCCTACAGGGAACCTCACCGTCAAATTGAGAAGCGGCGGAGAGACAAAATGAACAATCTGATTGATGAGCTGGCTGCCATGATCCCCGCCTGTCAGCCCATGGCTCGAAAGCTCGACAAACTCACTGTGCTGCGGAAGGCTGTGCAGCACTTGAAAGCCCTCAAAGGTACTTCTTAACCCACGTGGTGATTTAAGTGGTCAGTGATGTTGATTTTTGTCACTCTAAAAGCTCCCCTGCTTTCAGCTGGGATGGGCAGCGCCTTTTCAGAAACCACCTGCAAGCCTTCCATCCTGCCTCACGATGACCTCAGACACCTTCTGTTGAAGGTAGGTCCTCGTACGTCTGTTTCATTCATGTTTTATGCTTTTATTAACACGTCTTTCTGTGTATCTACCAGGCTGCCGATGGTTTCCTTTTAGTCGTAAGTTGTGACCGGGCGAAAATCCTGTTCATCTCCGAATCCGTCTCCAAGATCCTCAACTTTAGCCGGGTGTGTTACCCTCCCACCACACGACTTGCAACATTCAGTTACTGGTTGCAGCTTCCTCTTTTTCTGAATGTTAGCAAAATGAAGGTGTAAAAGTACAGATTGGTAAAACTGTACCTCACAAAATTTGTAAAATAGCTAGGTCCTATATTATATATATAGGACCTAATTTTATATATATATATA